CCCTCCCGCCGGCTGACTACGTGGTTTCATCACGACAAAAATGTTGTAATGAAACCTCGCATCCCACAGCGTAACCACATAAACAATAGGAAAGTTATTTTTATACACTAACCACGTTTCTAGGGTGTTTATATTTAGCTGTACCAAATTTGGTTCTTATAGGTCATTTTATTCACGAGTAAATCAGTATTTTGTCTCTCCTGTAAAATTTTCCTTTCTGGGGTTACGAGGTTTCATCACTCCACCAGCGATATGTTTCTTTGGTTGCAATTCTGAGAGAGTCCATACGGTCTTGCATACAAAACTACGTGCATTCGTTCTTTTACAAGGAGGTTACAGTAGTTTTAAGCTCCTTGTTCTTTTTTCATAGGCCTTCGGAATAGTCCTAGGCTTCATTAATAATATTATTATTGTGCTCTCGCAAGCTCAAGGGGAACGAGTCAATTAAGAAACCTTAGCAGGGGACGTCACTCAAGTATTATTTATTTCTGACGTCAGCGAGACTTGGTTGTGGTCACGTGACTCGGTATACCTCCAGAACGAAAACAACAAAGGTTACTTGACCCAGCAGACAGCTGATCGCTGCTGAGGAAGTTCTACCTAAATACGAGGTCCAGAAATCTACCTTGTGTCCTTTGTTGTGACGATTTTACCGTTTGCTAACGTCAAGCTCAATCTCACTCGTCCAGAGTAGGGAGTTTTTGGTCGCAGAACGGGGTAAGTTCGTCTGTCATTAGTGACGATTTTCAATATCACATAAATTACAGAACTCGCGTTTTACTCTTGGACTTCACGGACGTACTGTCTGTATTTGTAAAGAGTCGCTTCTACTGAGTTATATGCTTTTTCTAGCCCTATATCATCTGGGAGCCTGGTTTTTGTTTCATTTAAAGAGATATTGTTTCTAGAATCATGTTTTTCCTCTCTTTTTTTTCTTCAAGTTTCAGTGTTCAAAATTATAACCACCGTCTAACTAACTGCGTGAGAAAGTTCAGCGACTCACAAAATCGTGTTTGCCCACACGGACCGACCGTTGAAAGGCCTCAGCCTAATCCTGCTAGATCTAGATTTAGATCTAGATCTTTAATAATGATTGGTTATTTAGACAATATTCGGCTGTATAGATAGCCTACCTGACTTTCTTGCTTAAAATTGAAATTGCAAAAGGGGTATAGGCCTAATTTTCTTTTGGAAGAGGCTAGCCGTACTTAATGACGGCTAGACTGGCAGATTAGATTAGATCTAGATCTAGATTCTAGATACTTAAGTACTGAAGTACGGCTGGCCACTTCGAAAATAGTTTGCGTCTTTCTACGTTTAATCGCATGTTTGGAGGAGTGAAATGTTTTTTGATGGGTCACTGGAAATCCTTGACTTCGAGAAAAAGTTTCTGACTTGTGTTTGAGTCATGATACTGCATACATAATTTAGTTTTCAGGCCTATGATACGCAACACGCATGAATGCTGACACTAGTCTGGATATAAGGCATCTATTGGATTTAAGATTAGTCTTGAAAGTAATCAGCTGTGCTCGAAAAACTTTAATGTGTCTGTGTTCAAAGAATCCCTAGAGAAAAGTCTCTCGGAATTCTGATTCTGATGTCAACCATGCCTAAATTTACCAAGTTGCGATAGGTGACGGGCTGTTGGGAGTGAACGCTTGAAATGCCGCGTGGCTGAGCACTTTCATCTATCATCAACAGTACCCATCTGTTCTGATGTTTTTTCGGTGCATGATATATATATATATAAATACCAGTAAAATGAGCTTGAGTCCATTTTCCTGCCCATTCAACACTTTTGTTTTCGATTCCCGCAGTCAGGGAATCTTCATAAATTTTTATTTTTGCAGTTTAGTTACAAAAGTGCCTGACTATGCTATAATGCTTTGCTTAAATAATGAAAATGATTCTATTTGAGTAGCGTTCCACACTCTGCAGCATGCTTTATAAATGCGTTTTACAACCATTTTTACCCCAGCAACCCCTAGAACACCCCAGAAACATTCTCGGTTTCTTGAGAGAGCCATTTTGCCAAAAGGTGGGATACCTGGATGTGACAAATGAGGTCCAAATTTAACTTTATGTATTCTTTAATAGATATATATATACAGTAGTCTCCGCCTAAGATCCTGGTGCTCGGGAGCAAGGAAACGCGGGATCTTAGGCGAACCGGGATCTTAACCGACGAACCCAGGAAAGAATCTATGTTGACCCATGTTAAGGCTCACAATCGGTAAAATGGTCTCCCTCCACTCTACAATGAGCTGACATGCCCCCTTGGTGGGTTTATGGCATATGGCGAGCAAAGAGTGGTTAACCTTGATGACCTATCACGGTGCATAGTGGCATGATGTGAGCCATTTTTACTTATTATCCTATCATGAGTCTCAGGATCTACGATTATCCAGTTGCCCCTCCTCTTTACCTGTCAAAAATTTTTAGCTTTCCATCTCTGACCGAGCCCCCCCCCCCCCCCTCCGAACCGCCTTTGTCGTTACACACCATTACGTTGTGAACGCACCAATTAAAATTCAGTCCGTCTCACAAATTCAGGAGTAGAGACAACTCCTGCAATGGTCAAGGATGAGTTCACGGTTCGATGTGATCCCGCCAGGAGCGAACTTGTAGGCCCTACTCACCCAGCGAGTGATACAAGCTTAGGTGGCGAGCTCAGGTGTGAGTGCGATGCGTGGGTAAAACAAACATGTCGGTCAGTTCACACCCCGGTGTGATCCCGTCTGGGGCAAACATTGTATCGCTTCATCGAGTTTTACAACATGTATGTGATCACATTCACGATAGTGGCTGATCTTTGACGCGACGGACAGTTTATTGATCTCAACTTTTTACTCTTGGTTGATCGGCTGTGCCCACCCGGGTTTTTTAAAAATAGAAAATTATGATCTGAAATGCGGGATCTTAGCCGAATGTAGACCATCAGAGCGGGATCTTAGGGGTGACTTTTGTATAGTAAAAATTCTGTTTTCCAAAAACAACGGGATCTTTTAAGCGAACCGGGATCGTAAGCCGTGGGATCTTAGGCGGAGACTACTGTATATACATATATATATATATCAATATGGCCTAATGATTGCTCTTAAGAGGCTCAGTACTGCCAAAGCTGTACATATGCAATGGTCTTGGGGTAATTCTGGCTTAAATGACGGAAATAGGGAAAAGTTTGTTCATAACGAAGCTGACACAAATGAAAAATCGATGTTCCTTTCTTCAGCTTGGCTGAGAATATAATATTTTGAGACACCAAACACTTCCAAAAATACTTTGACAGGATATGAAAATCTTTATTAATTTTTGATAAAAGTACTTGTCTGTGTCATAATAGTTATGAATGAATAAGTGACTCACGTGGGTGGTTGGCGGGTGCTCTGGTCTGGTTTGCTTCTTCTTTCCTATCAAACATCTATCGTCCTTATCTCCCCTCCTTCTTTTTTATGTTTGTCACTCTCTTGTAACACCTCTTATCTTCTGGCACCCATATGACCTTATGCAGTTGCAAGTTCTGTAAAACCTCTACTAAAACTAAAGGCCAACTCACAAAAAATGCAGAACGCGATTTGAGGAAAATTGCATGATTAGCAGCAACCAAGAAACCTTTTATGAATTGTTGCAAGCTTTTAGGAGGAGTGGACCAACATGCCTCAAATGAAGATTCTACAAATAATTAGCTAAATGTGACGAAGATCAGGATTCATTTTGTATTTTTAGGGCAAAACTAGTTAAAATTGTCTGTGATACTCAAGTCACAAAAGACATCAGTGTCCTATTTTAGTGTTGGAAAATATGTTTGAATGTAGTTTCTATTTTTATGGGCTAGGGGTTTTGAAGTCAGTTTGGCAGTCACCCTGCACTCAATTCCAGATTCAATACTGAATGATAGGTGCCTTGAACGATAGTACATAATATAAATGCTTTAAAAAAAAACTCTCCACATTTCATACACACTGTTAATCTTAACTTGTGCACACCCAAACACCCCCTTCCCCTCCCCACATATAAACACACGCTTGAGCACACACACACACACACACACACACACACGCACGCACGCACGCACGCACGCACGCACGCACGCGCGCACACACACACACACACACACACACACACACACACACACACACACACACATGGAAAAACAAGTTTTCAAAATATAATTACCCAATATCATGAAAATCAAGCGCTTTCGATGGGGCAACAATCATCTTTTTTTTTCCTTCTTTGTCTTTGTACTACCTGATTTTGGGCCAAACTACCTGAAAGTAACCCTGAATCTACCTGAAATGGAAATTTTGAGGTAGGCAGCATTGCATGGTATGAGGTTTCATTCATAACCATTTATGACACGCTGTTTCGTTCATAACATTTGTTACAATCCTTTTTAATGACAAGCATATTTTTGTCTCTTCTTTTGCGTCGCTTTTGAGTCATCAGCACGCTGTTCTTCCATTTATGCAACAATGAAAAAGGATGTTGTGAAACAGTGAGAAGTGCCACAAATGATATTTTGCATAATTATCATAAAGTGTTTGTTCATAACATCATTATGACAAACCTGGATTTTCTCAATCAAAGTCATATTTATAATGGAAAATTACCCTTCTGATGGATCAATATCAAACCAATGTTTAATACTAGTCATTCTTGGGGATGGTATGTTTAACGATTTGGGTTTTCTAGACCTTGGAAAGTCTAATGATGAAATTGTGACACAAGTTATATGAACGAACTTACATTTTACTCAGCAATAACATCATTCATAACCAATAATAAAAACCTGTCAATGGACACATGATGTTATGATGGTGTATACTAAATATTTTCAGTATTTGAATGCACTTCTGTTTGATAGGTTAAGATTAACAATTTTCAATATTTGACATAATTACGTGTGCACTCAAGATGAGTAAAAAATGTCCTACTTTTAGTACTCTTACTATTATCTTTCTATGAAGAGTTGTAAGATATATATCAATCTACATGCTCCTGCAGCTTGACCAACTTATTTCCGTGTTATATCATGCATTATAATTTCAGTAGAAAACATAATTTCCCATGAGTAGTGGTTGATTTAAAAGTCCTCATGCAAACACCACAACCTTTTGGCAAAAAGTAGGGAAGTAAACAGTGCAAGCTGCGAATTGCACATGATGAAACACTAACAAACTGACAAGAATTTCCACTGTCTCTATCCAGAGGTTCCCATTATCCCACCTGGGTGAAGTTAAGAACATTTTTGTTAACTGCCTTTCAAATCGGACCCCTGATGGGATTCAAACCCGAGCCTTATAGTTGTGAGTTCGAGAATCTAACCACTATGCCACTGACGCCACATGCTTAACCATGCAATGTGTGTGTACTGGTACTGGTGCTTACAACAAGAGAGTGTCCACACCCTTAATTGTGCCATGGTTTTCAAACCCTATCGTCTGTCCAATGAAAAACATTGTCTTCTTGAGTGGCTTTGCCAGTACACATACTTTACTCATTGGTAGATGCGTCTTTCTTTCTTACTAGGTCTATATATCCCAGCTGTAAAAAATGTAGATCCTAGACTGGCATCTATAGTCACATAGTGTAACGGTTAGGTTCTCCGCCTTTGTTCTCCGAAGGCACGAATTTCATTCCCACACTCAAAGGTCTCTAGGCTCGGGTATCTCTGTCTGTATGCTGGGATATTGCACCCCTCTCAGCACAGG